CCCCCTTGTATAGGGTTGTCCAGATACTTTGTGTTCCCCAAAATTTGTGGCTCTCCTCCCCCCAGTGTGTCGTGTTAATATGCTCCACTCTACATACCATGGTTTCCAGGTCCCCAAATAACAGAGCTGTGATTTGTCTGCAGGCTGAACGACTGCAACTTGACTGCCGCAAGCTGTGAGCACCTTGGCTCTGCTCTTAAAGCAAACCGATCCCTACACAAGTTGGATCTGGTACTGAATGAACTTAAGGATGAGGGAGTGAAGTTCATCTGTGAGGGGCTGAAGGATCCCGGCTGTACTCTGCAGGAGCTGAGGTGAGCCCTCCATCATGCTGGTATCTTACAATGACAGATCTGCAGGACTTTGTGTCCATTGGCAGATGTTTCCGCTGGAATAAACTCTGGACTCTGAAATGTCCTAAACATGTAAAGCCAAAAAAGTTCCAGCTTAAGATCCTGTAAATTCTAGAAGTGTTTATCGGCTGTAGTCTGGATAGTGAGGCTATGCCATATAATTTATCATGGAAGCTCTAACTGGACTTGTCCTTTCCAGGATTGAATTCTCAGAGCTTTCTCCGGCCTGTTGTGACTACCTCCACTCTCTTCTGATGACCAATCGAACTCTCACCACCCTGTACTTGAGAGAATGCAACATCCAGGACACAGGGGCCAAGCGGCTGTGTCAGGCCCTCTGTAAGCCAGGCTGCACTCTGGTGAACCTCTGGTAAGGACTGATGGGTACATTGTATGAAGGACATGGGTGAGGTCTGATGGGTACGTTGTATGAAGGACATGGGGTGAGGTCTGATGTGTACATGGTATGAAGGACATGGGTTAGGTCTGATGGGTACATAGTATGGAGGACATGGGTGAGGTCTGATGGGTACGTTGTATGGAGGACATGGTTAGGTCTGATGGGTACATTGTATGGAGGACATGGGGTGAGGTCTGATGGGTACATGGTATGAAGGACATGGGGTGTATACTGGATGGGGTGATGGGTTGGACATCTCCTGTATACTGGACAGGGGGATGTGTTGGACATCTCCTGTATACTGGACGGGGTGATGTGCTGGATATCTCCTGTATACTGGATGGGGTGATGGGTTGGATATCTCCTGTATACTGGACGGGGTGATGTGCTGGATATCTCCTGTATACTGGACGGGGGTGATGGGTTGGATATCTCCTGTATACTGGACGGGGTGATGGGTTGGATATCTCCTGTATACTGGACGGGGGTGATGGGTTGGATATCTCCTGTATACTGGATGGGGTGATGGGTTGGATATCTCCTGTATACTGGACGGGG